CCCTCCAGCGGGAGGAGGAGCTCCGGCGTGAGCTCCGGGAGCTTCGGGACGACCGCCGCTCCCCCTCCCGTCATGATGACCGGGCGCGGTCCCGGTCACCGCGGGCGTCGTCGGGGGACTGGCGCGCCCGCCGGCGCTCCCCGTCGCCGTCCCGTCGTCGGGAACGCTCCCCGTCCCCCTCCCGTCCGGCCCGGGTCGGCTCGCCTCGCCCGCGGGACGGTATCCTCCCCACCCCGGACACTCGCCGCTACGTCCCTCCGCACGCGGCCTCCACTGGGGCTGCGGCCCCGGCTCCGGCTCATGGTGGTGGCACGTCCCGCGGCCGTCCTGGGCCTGCCAAGAAGAAGAAGCGCCGGGGTGTCCGCCTCACTCCGGCCGTGCCACCCCCCGCGGGTCCGGGAGCCTCCTCCGCTCCGGGCCCCGTCTCCGATCTCCCTCGCCCCCCATGCTTCAACTGTGGGGTGAGGGGGCATTCTCAGGTTGCTTGCGTCAACCCCCAATGCTGCTACCTCTGCAAGGATCCCGGCCACCCCGCCATTCTGTGCCCGGATAGACCGGTGGTTTCGGAGGTCATGATGTATGGGCATGGGATCGAGGGGTTGGGCTTCTTCCACCTCGAGGTCCCGGACGCCCCTCCTCCGTCGCCCTCCCTTCAGGCGATTGTCACAGTCGTTGATGGGGTGGTGTCCCCAGAGATGATCGAGGCTGAGCTCAACCACCTCTACCGCCACCAGTGGGACTGGGTGGTCACCCCCACAGCCGATCACATCTTCTCCGTCGTCTTCCCCGACTCCGTCAGCTTCGGCTACGCGATGCGTAGTGGCCGGATCACTCTCGCGCTCAACCAGCTGGTTGTCAAGATATCCGAGCCAGTACTCGACGCTCAGGCCGTGGCTGTCCTCGACACCGCCTGGATCCTCATCTCCGGTCTCCCCGATATTGCACGGTCCGAGCTCGTCATCCGCCAGATGTCTCGCCTCTTGGGCAAGGTGGTGGTGGTCGACGAGCTCTCATTGCGCAAGGAGGAGAAGGTGCGGGTCAAGGTCAAGTGCCTCGACTCCTCCAAACTGCGCACTTCGGTCCGGGTCTTCTTCAACGACCAGGGCTTTGACCTCAGGATCGCCCCCGAGCCTCCCAACCACGTTGGGTGTCCCCGCTTCCTCGACGTCGGCCCCACTGGTGACAACCCGGGGGCCGGCGGAGACTACCACGGCCGCCACCGCTCCCGTTCTCACCGCTCGGATGAGGAGGGGGCGTCCGAGGACTCCCGCTCCCCATCCCCCTCGCCCCCCTCCGTCTGCGGGGGGCAAGGGCCACCAGGCCGCCTCTCGCCCCCTGGTGGATGGCCCGTCGATCTCTGACGTGTCGCCATCCGAGGGGAGCGGCATCTCCAGTGTGGGCCTGGTGGTCTGCCCGGCCTCCTCCCCGCGCTCCCCCACCTTGTCCCCGCTACCTGTGTTGGCCCCGGTCGGCCTGCTCGGCGGCCTGCTCTCCGACTCTTTGGCGGCGCCCGCAGGTGGGGGGACGCCTCCTGTGGTTGTCCCCCCCACTCCGGCTTCGCCTCCCCCCGTCGTCGTCTCCTCCCCGCAGCCTGACGCTCCTCCGGCCCCGTCGTCTCCATGGGCTCCCTCGGAGGCCTGCTCTCCGGCCCCCAGTGCGCCTTCTTCCCCTCTGGCCGCACCATCACCCCCGGCCCAGATCTTCCTCGGCTGTGCTGGGTCGGGACTGCTGCCCTCCCCTCCGTCGTCTCCTGGGGCGGGGGCGGCCCGGATCATCACGCCTTTGGCGGCCCAGCCCCCCCCTCCCCGGTCTACCGCCTACTCCCGTCGCAGTCGGTCGGCCTCCTCCCCGGTGGTGGCTTCCCGCCGGAGTGCTCGGCTGGATGCTGCCCACCCTGAGGGCAGCCCGGCGCTGCCCATCCCCGAGCGGGCGGAGCTTCGCGCTGCCGCCCGTAACCTGGAGCCAGGTACGCCCTCCATTCCCCCCTCTGCTTCGTCTTGTTCTTTCTCTGCGCTTGAGTCTGTTCCGCTGGGTCATCTCGCCAAAGTGGCCTCCGACTCCGCGATCATTTTCCGAGGGGAAGTTGGCCCCCCTCTCGCCCAGATCGCGGCCATCAGAGCCCGTGAGGTTCTCGATGGGAAACTTGTGGAGGCCTGGGCGGCCCTCCTTGTTCCCCCAGCCGCCTCTACGTCTGGGGGATCTTCCTCTCCGCCTCGGCCGCAGCCGATGGCCCCTCCTCCCTCGGTGGCCGTGTCGGAGATTCGGGGACGCACCCGCTCCCGCACGGCGGCCCTTCGCGCGCTTAGCGCTTCCTGTGTTCTGGGGTCAAGCAGCCCCCCAATGGCTCCTTAATGCGGGCCCTCTTCTGGAACATCCGCGGCTTCGGCCATGATGGCCGCCGCCGCCAGTTAGTGGAATACATGCGAGATGAGCACATCGACATCATGGCTGTGCAAGAGACCATGCGTCGTGATTTTGCGCTCCCTGAGCTTGACCGACTGAGCTCTCACCTCTTTGCGTGGCACTGGCTCCCTTCTAGTGGGAGCGCGGGCCACTCGGGTGGCATCCTTTTAGGTGTGAAGGATGCCACCTTTGAGGTGGGCAACATGGATAAGGGCGAATTCTTCGTCAGCATGGAGCTTTTCGAGAGGCCGCTCAACTTCAAGTGGGAGATCATCATTGTCTATGGACCGGCCGATCATAGTAGGTCGGCCTCCTTCTTGGAGGAGCTCCACCGGAAAATCTCGGCCGCCTCCCTCCCCGTGGTTGTCGGGGGCGACTTCAACCTGCTGCGCGTTGCGGAGGACAAGAACAATGGCAATGTTTGCTTTGCCCGGATGGACATGTTTAACGACTTCATTGCCGACCTCGCCCTCCGGGAGATTGATCGGGTTGGGGCCCGTTTTACTTGGACCAACCGACAAGCCTCCCCGACCCTGTCCGTCTTGGACAGGGTCCTAGTTTCCCCGGAATGGGACCTCCAATGCCCCCTAGCCTCTCTTCGCGCCATCACCCGGATTGGTTCCGACCACGTCCCCTTGCTCCTCTCCTCCGCGGACGAGCGTCCGCCGATCCCCCCTCGGTTCCGGTTTGAGACCTTCTGGCTTTCCCAGGCCGGGTTTACCGACGCCGTCTGTGCTTGGTGGATCGAGGCTCGGGCCCACCCCCACCCTCGCCCCCCTTCTGCTATTGACGCGTGGCACTTCTGTGCGAAGCGTGGCTGGCAATTTATGAAGGGCTGGGGGGCCAACCTGGGCCGTGACGCCAGGG